GATGCTATGATAGTTTCTCTCCACACTCACTCGTTTTAAGCCTTGGGTTTTGCGGGTTTTTCGCATCTTTCTGACCTGTACAGCTCTATCTTCTATTTTTCCTTTTTTTTGGTGCGTGTTTTTGGCCGTGACGCCGAGACCTCAGGTCGGCAGAGTCATCAATACCCCACCATCACTGCTGCGTCTAGGCACAGCGCCTGCTCATTACTTGTCAGTTTTTCCTAGTCTCCGTAGCATTTTCTTTCCTTACTCTTTTCGAGCTGGTTATGTGAACATAGTAAAAAAATAATAAAAAAATGAGTAGCCCTTTCCCAAAGGTGCTCTTTTAACTGGCACTCAGTGCTTTTCGCGTCCCTCAAAATAATTATGCTGAAAAGTGCTCTTTTTCAGTGAAAACTGGCAAAAAGTGCTCCTTTTTCCAGTGAAGCATAGCCATGATACAAGTTCAGATATGAACCCAAGCTGAGAAATGAATACGCACTCTTCCATTGATGGGTCCACGAAAGGCAAAACAGGAAGTAAAGTTCAAAAAAGCCACTTTTACAGCATTGTGTTATTGTGGTACAAGCTTCGCCAACTTGTTGCCCCCCCCCCCCAAAAAAAGCGGCGTGCCAAGGCCCATCGAGCACTCGGAAACTGTGATCGCATGCATGAGCCAACAGATTTTTGCCCCTTTCCGCTGAAAAACTCAAAAAGGGCGATATTCACCAAAAAAACGCAATAGAGGGCGAAAGAAACCGCCTTTTCCAAAAAGGGCGAAAAAGCACCTAATTACCAGCCCTTTCCCAAAGGTGCTCGCCCCTTTTTGGAAAAAAAGAAAAGTGGATTTTTTGAACTTTACTTCCTGTTTTGCCTTTCGTGGACCCATAAATGGAAGAGTGCGTATTCATTTCTCAGGTTGGGTTCATATCTGAACATGTATCATGGCTATGCTTCACTGAAAAAAGACCACTTTTTGCCTGTTTTCACTGAAAAAAGAGCACTTTTCAGCATATTTTGAGAGACGCGAAATTATTATTATTACATGTAATATTATTTGAAACTCGGATGCTGAGCCATAAATAAATGTAGAAAGGAAAAGGACATAAGGATACGAGTTCAGAGGAACTCTCCATCACTGTAACTGGATACTATATACTAGGGCTGAAAGGAATATTCGAAATGTGCAGACCGGAAAAAGAATATTCTTCGTTAAAGTAGAATAAGAATATTCGTAAATGTACAGAAACTCGCCTTTTTGGTACCGATCAGGCTTATTTTGTGCAAAATACGAGTAGACTTGCCAACTTTAATGTGTTATCATTAGCAAGACAAATGATGACAATGCCACTTTCACACATCTCTCTTGTAATCGGGGTACACACCAGTCAATGGTCTATGGTCACCATGGATACAACAAGGTATCCATGGATATTGTATGGTTAAGAATATTCGGAATATTCTTCGTTTTACATGTATTCGGAAAAGGAATATTCGTTCGCTTCATTGAGCATTCGTTTCAGCCCTACTATATACAGTCAGAAAGTGCAATAACTAGGCACAAAACTGACAAGAGTACTGAGACATTCGACGTCCTCACACCTAACTTCACCACATCTCCGTAGCGCTAACCGACAGCCTTCCAACTTGGAAGGTTCAAGGTAAGGGCCTGGTCAGACTGCGGCAAATTTTGATTGCCTGACGAAAAAAGAACAGGGTCCAGAATTTGAATCGCGATCACACTACACATGTGGGGAGAGTGAAGATTAAAACTTCATCTCGAGCGTCAAGTGGTAATCTCCACGAACGACGTCAGATTCCTTCTCCTTGGGGATCGCCAACACCTTCAGTGCAATCCTTGCAACCATCCTTATGAGTTTCGTCAAGAGTTCATAACCCCCAAGAGTGTGCAACTCCTGATCAGTCCCTGTGTCATGTGTATGGAAGCCCGCTCGGCGGAATTCCTTCATTGCGTCATTTTTGGTGCAGTGCGATGAGTCACGCCAATGAATTCTTCTAAAATTTGCAGTCAAACCAGGATGCTTCCCCAGGGTAAACTGCCTAAACTGCGATTCTAGTCTGAGCCTCGAGTCAAGAAGCAAAAGTGAAACAAATAAAAGTATGCACACGAAAGACAAAACTATTTTTTCGATGCAATGGTCACGGACTCTTCATCGCCTTCTTCTTTCACCAGTGCAGTCAGTCTCTTCAAGAACAATTTCTTCCCCAGGCCATCGGCATATTTCTGGTGCTTTCCTGGAAGATAATTTCAAATGGTTGAGGAACTTGAGAATACGTCGAAGGAGCATTTTTCGGCTGAGTTGCACAGCTATCAGAATGATTGTCCTCGACGGCAATGCAATATTTTTAACAGCGTCCTCTTCTTCCTGTCGCGATGTCCATGGATTCTTGGAGAAAGAGTTTGTTTTTGAGAAAGTACGACTTGTACGTCCGAAATGACTGTCTTCAAAAAAAGCTTCAAAAAGTCGAGGCTACAGCCTTGAGTTAGGGGCGGTTCAGGGTGTAGTTTCCAGAAATCGCAAAGAACCCAAATTTACCTCGGATGACAAGCTGCGCATGACGTAATGTAGGAATTTCGCCGAGCGCTGGGTCTATGCCCGTTGCACACTCTTGGGGGTTATGAACTCTTGGTTTCGTTGTTGTCCGTGGCCAATTAGCTCCTCGATATCAAAATGAAAAATCAGTGATTAGGGAGGTTCCGGAGTACGATTTTTCGTGCCAAAATCCGTGGAGGCTCTACGGATTTTTTAAACGTCGTTTTCGAGCAGTGAAAAGTTCCGGGGTACGGAACTTATGTGTTTGCCCTCATTGCCTAGGTTACGATCGCAAACACGTCACATTCCCGCGCTATGCCTTTTTATTTTGAAAATTTGTACCGAAATCAAAACTTCCCGCGAAAAATCGATGTTTCTCGTACCAAATGTGTACGCGAAAAATCTTTCTGCACCCGATGATGCAAAATCTCCATACGAAACATGGTTCGTATGAAAGCCAGTCCACACGGATTCTTCGTGCCGAAAAATCGTATGGAGCACGCCTGGAAAAAATCCGTAGCGCCCATACGGATTTTGGCACGGAAAATCGTACCCCGGAACCTCTCTATTATCAGCGTCAATGGCGTATCAGCGTCAAATCCTGTTTGGAGCGGAGAAGCGTGGTCCGTTCTTGCTTTTTTTTTTGGAGCGTCAGCTCTCGCTTTTGCCGCTCTGGCGGCAAGTTACTATGGAGATTCGGATTAGAATTCTAGGATTATTTCGATTTTGCCGCAGTCTGACCAGGCCCTTCTGGAAAGACCAAAGAGGGGAAGGCTAGCGCAACGAAAACGAGCAAATGCTACAGTCCAGGCCCGGCGGAAGCAATTGTTCATTGGTCCGGCCAAGTTTTTTCGCCAGCACAGTACTTGCGCATGTGTGACACAACACAACGTCTCTTTGCTCATCGTAGGTCAACCATATATGACGCCTGACAAAAGCGCTTCACCACGGTCTTTTTCCCAAATTCCCGCCGAGGAAACGCGAAGGAAGTGGCTGGGTGGACTGGCACTTCTGGCACAGACATTTTGATGGAAAAAGCTATAGCTGCTAGGCATGCAATGTAAGATGACCAAACAGCAAGAAAAATTTGAAAAACTACTTCGTTCAGTACAATAATCTGAAGCACTCGACGAAAAACCCTCAAGAAAAAAACCCACAAAATTTACAATGACTATGTAGAATCAAGAGTGCATAAAAATGGTTTACACACACAACAGACTGAGAGGCGAAAGGCTAGGCTGTGTTAGCTGTGTGAAAAAGGTTTACACAAAGGACGAAACAGTTCTGTCCGCAGATTGAGTATTTCGCTCCTGCTCTTGTAGCAGTCGAGCACTCTTGCGTGGGGTAGTGCCTTTGCTGTTTGCGTTATGCAGAGCTCACTGACTTGTCAGTTTCAGCACTCTGGCAAGGTACGTTCGGGCCTGATTGGAAATTTTTATTTCCATTGCTATCAGGTTCGGCCTCATCTCCTCTGTGCTGCGCTGACGAGTCCACAATTTCACAAAGGACGAAACAGTTCTGTCCGCAGATTGAGTAAAAAAGGTTTATGTACTTTTTTTTTTTTTTTTAATAGAGCCACGTTAACCCGTCATGTGTGAGCCATGAATAAGGGGAGTGGTGGCGTGGTCTCTTGGTAGTCTCTTGGTAGAATCCATCATGGCACGTGCTTTCAGGTCACGCGACTCGCGCCACGGCACAGATTACAGGCGCTAGGCCCACAGACGTAACGTCGTTAGGTATACCATGGATGATGGTATACAGGCCACAGCTAGCCCTCGATCAAGCGCGCACGCGTGCACAGCAAGATCAGAGCGAGATCGCAAGTACGCGTAGAACTACGTACATGAAATCGATGATCACAACAGTCATAACGTTGCTGCGTCGTAAAAAAGATCGTCGGTGGCCGAAAAGTTGGTCCGGCCATGGCCGGACCGACCGGAGCGGCTCCGCCGGCCCTGCAGTCCCAACGGAACAAAGAATGTCGATTGTTACTGGACGATGACGAGACCAGTACGATATTTGACAAACCGGTCTAACTACAATTCGAAGCAGCAAAGCAGCACACCACCCAACTTGGGTGGGTCTTAAATATCAAAGATATGTAAAGAAGGGGAAGCTTCGCGAAAACGAATTGTACAAGCCGAAAGCCAAACTCCTACAGTACTCCTCATGCATGACATTGTGATGGACTAGTTGACTACAAAACAAGTTGTTTCACACGACGTACGTTTCGCCGTATGGTTCATGACGGCTCGTCAGGTGTTCCATTCTATATTATTATTATTATTATTATTATTTAAATTTTGAATAGGAAGTGCGAATTAAAAGAGCACCTTTTGGGAAAGGGTTAGTTACACGGCATGCAGATTCGATTCTTCAGCACTTATAATATGTTCTTGATAACACAGTGCAAGTGACAACTGTGAACAAAGAAAACAAACAGCTCTGGAATTATTGAGTACTTACACACAAGTTTGAAGCTTGCATGATGTCTTCGTTGCAAACAGCTTGCGAGATCCAATGATATTATGCCACATACAGATTTGCGTTCCCTCCCTTGACAGCCCTCTTTCGGTTGTGAAGTGCAGATTGGTCGTACAGAGAAATGCCGGTGACAACTGTTGGGAAAGCAGGGCCAAATTGATTCTACTCTTGGCAATAGAGAGGTTCTGCACAACGAAAATTCGAACGAAGTTTCGCGACAAGCCTTGCGACAACGCGTACGACTTTTGTACGAACTTTGTGTTCTGCACATTTTCGTAGTTTGCACGCGCCAAGTGCAGGTACGCCATGTGCCATGACCCAATGTCACGAAACTTCCTACGAAAGTGTAGCAACCCGCTGCGCAATGCTCAGCAACCTGCAGGATCCGCGCAATTTGCTGATGTTTCCGATCAAGACGTGGGAAAAATCCGTAGGAACAGAACAGTCAGAATGCCCGATGCCCAGTCGGCAATGTCAATGGCACCGCGAGAAAAAAAGCACTATGGACTACTAGAAAAACTGTACCAGAAAACAATAACAAAACACAATGCAGGTGTGTCTGTCATGTATCTCTTTATTTGGCTTGGGTGCACACGGGAAACACGTTCCAGTCACTCATACTGTCCACCAGCACTGAGAATAACCGGTTGTCTCTATTATTATCATTTTCTGTCTCTCTCTCTCTCTCTCTCTCTCTCTCACTCTTCCTCTCCTGGGAAGCTCCTCATGCTCATTCTCCCTTTCTCTGTCCATTTCCCCTTCCTGATGCGTAGACCAACTGTTGAACCCGAGACCACTAGGTCGGGGGAGGTTGACCTACCTCATCGGCACGCATGCCACGCTCCTCTGTGTTGTCAAAGTTCGCTTGTCCACTTTTGTCTACCTACCCTTTTATGTTGCTGGCCAGTGCTTTGTAGTAAAAAAATAAATAAAATAAAAATACTCCGCCAGTACCGCTGTTCATCCAGCCCTTGCCGCTATCGCGGCGCGGGCTGGATTCCGCGGTACTGCCCTCGTACTCGTGCAGGAACTTGTACTCCCAAGGCATACGCTGCAATGACCCATATGGTAATGTTTGCACCAATTATGGAGGCTGGGCCTCTTCTGGCACACAGCAAGTGCACAACAGGATTCAAGGGTACATTATAGCAATAAAAACTGCTTTATGGCAGTTTTCTAAAAAAAGTTATTGTGTTCTAGTCCATGGACCCCGTCTAAAAAGTAAGAAATTAACGAAATATGATAGCCGAAAATTAAAATTTCACACAAAACCTCACAATAATCACAACATTTGAAATGCTGTTTCCAACACTAAACTTGTACTGCACCAACAATTGGCAACATGCATGTCATGCATGCATAGTAAAGAGGATCACGAGGAGAAAAAGGTCTTCTACATGAAGCTTTTCATTCTGTGTGTGATTATTGTGAGGTTTTGTGTGAAATTTTAATTTTCGGCTATCACATTTCGTTAATTTCTTACTTTTTAGACGGGGTCCATGGACTAGAACACAATAACTTTTTTTAGAAAACTGCCATAAAGCAGTTTTTATTGCTATAATTTCTTTTGTTTTTTCCGTCACCAATCAATGGAATGCCCTATATGACGGCCTTCACATCATATCAATACCGTATAGGCCTTATGCACGTTGTACAGATGTACGAAGTTCTGGACTAGGGCCGTACATGTAGGTGTGTACATGCCCGGTTGGGTGTTCATTGTGGCAATGGCTTTGATCAGAGCCCAGCTGTCCTTTGCTCTCGTGAAGGCGGCCGTGGCATGCCTTCGTGGGCATCGCCACAAGTCGAGCAGGTATGACCCTCATGCATATTCTGCCACACTTGCTGTCTCCGAGTGTCATCTGTAGACAACCTGTCTGTTTCCCCTTTTCTCTGTATCATTAATTTTTGTATGTTATAATTTCCGCGGATTCCAGTTTTTCTCCCTTCATTATAATTTAAGCGCCATTTAGCGCGTATTGGCTTATGATTTCTTTTTCTTCTGTTTGTATTTAGCGCTTGACCGGTTAATATTTTCCTTCTCTTTATTTTGCGCTACATATAATTATTTTTCCGGTATTATAAACTTTGGGTGTTCATTGTGTGCTATACATGCGCGTTTGACCCATTTAGCCTCATAATATATGGCAAACAATCGCTTATCCAGCTTCTTCACTTTGGGATTGAACTAACGACTAGCTAGATCTCTGCGAGAAAAAAAGTTTTCATATGAAATGCCTTCAGGGCCCATTTCATAGTGAAAATAGCAGTAAACACAATAGGGTCCTGCACATTCAACACCCAACCGGGTCTACGGGATTCTACAAGATTATACGGGATTTCGTGCATCTGTACAATGTGCATAAGGCCTATTATACGCATTGATGTGCAAGCATTTTCTTGCATAAAACGGCACTAGCATGTTCGTCTGCGGGACCCGGGGAAACATGTGAGTAGTGGTGGACCGTGGTGATTAGGGGTGTCATCGATTGGCGAATCTGGATTGAGTGCGAGCAGGCGGTGTGGTCCGTGCAACGCTGGCCCAATCGAACAAAACAAGTGTGTAGTACGCAAAATGTACGCATATCGTACCAAGATTCTGTGAAAGCTGTCCAAAAACGGCAAAGTCCATTTCCACTCCAGCCACTCCCGGTGTGGGGGCCGGTGTGGTCGGATTCCACTCCAAGTACACCTACTCCGGATTCGACCAAACGATCACGCTCACTCTGAGCACACTTGCTCGGGATTCGCCCAATCGATCATGCCCCAGGCTCTTAAGAGTTGTGTTCATCACTGTTGAGGCTTCCGATGGAAAATAAAAGAATACTACTACTACTACTACAGGCCTCGACCAAATATGCTTGCGCATATTTCCGCATATTTTGTGAGACAGTTCATATAATGCCATATTATGGCATATTGAGCGAGAAAGGGAATATTGGAATTGAGCCAGCATATGATTCAAATACTCTGAAGAAAATGAGGACAAAACATTCATGTTATGGACAAAATGCGTTCAGAAATGCCTTTTATGGATGAATTTGGAATGGTTGAGGCGTTTGCAACATTTCCCCAGGGATGAACACTATCGCTACGGTTGCTGGGGACACACACCTGATGCGGAACAAGCATCATGCAGCTCTTGGTGACAAACAAGTGTACGTGTCGCATGACCTGACACGTGAAGAGCAGGCCAAGCGTAACGATGTTTGGCCTACATTCCGCAAGCTCCGGCAACAGAACTTTCGTTGTACGCTTCCCAAGTACACTATCATGGTCAAGGGGAAACCAATGACCGACGAGGAAATCGCCCAGGTTTTATCGCAATCTGCATAGGGGTGCGACGGTGGTGCAGCGGACATGGTGCGCTCCAAACCAACGAACAACTCATGTATGCGTGCATTGCCTCATCCAAGGTGCACAACAGCAGCTCATGATGACAGCACTTCCACCACGCTAAATGTAAGTCTGCATACTCCCCGCATCCCTAGCACTCACACTACCCAATGTGTTCCATTTGTACTCAGTATTTCCCACATAAACATTTGCAGCCTCAGAAATAAATTACATGATATCGCCACACTATTGCATACCACTTCCCCTAGAATTGACATTCTCGGCATTACAGAAACTTGGTTAGACGCATCATTTACTGATGCCGCCCTCCACATCCCCGGTTATATCTTCTATAGACGAGACAGGCAAACTAGCAGGGGTGGTGGAGTGTGTTTCTACGTACATGAGTCCATTCGCGTGCAGAAGTCGTTCTCCAGTTCACACTTAGAAGCACTGTACTTGAATGTGTCAGATGGTGCCTGTGGTCAGCGCCCAGGTCGATCCATGGTCTTCGGCTGCATATACCGGCCCCCTGATTCCCCAGTCAACTTCTGGAATGAGCTCGAAGATGAAGTTGATGACATCTCTAGCTCCATGGACATGCTACCCCTACTACTAGGAGACTTTAATGTTAATGTTCTCAATCCGCCCAACATCAGCAACCACAACCGGCTCCAGGATTTCTGCGACAATGCAGGGCTCCGCAATGTTATATTCTCACCAACTAGACTACCCAGTAACACCTGCATTGATCTCGTACTCCTCCCCAGTCTTCTCCCCACGGGTGTAACACACTCGTCCCCTTGTGTTAAGTCCCTAGATGGCCTATCTGATCATTGCCTTATCAGCGTATCCTTGCACCTCCCAAATTGGTCTATCCGACGATCCCTTCTTACCAGCCGTCATATCCGTAAACCATCAATCAGAGCTCTTGAACCCAATGACTTCGGCCCTGACTTCTTGCAGTCTCTTTCCTCGCGTGATGTAAGTGACATGACCCTGGATGAGCTGACCCAGTACTGGACTGCCACTCTCCATGCTACCCTTGAGAAGCACTGCCCCATGAAATCAGTTTCCAACTCCACGCATCCACCGCCGTCACCTTGGATGACACCTGAGCTCCGCGCATTGCTGCTTAAACGCAAACACCTGCACAGGAAGTGGCGCAAGCATCCTAATGATGAGCGTCTTCGACAAGATTTCCGTGCTGCCAGACGCGCTGGAACTCTTCTCAACCGTAGGCTGAGAGAAGCTTATTACATCCGCCAGTTCTCATCGAATGCCGCAAACGCACATGCTCAGTGGAAAGTACTGAACCGCCTCCTAGGTCGCCATAAGCTCCCAGCTACTCTCCCCGTCGACCCGTCTGCCCTGACCACGGTATTTGAAGCGCAGGTCACCAGCCCAGACTCCTCTACTTTAGCTGCCAGACGACCCGCTGGGCCACCAATCCAGCGAGTGTAACAGATTCACTGTTACTACTAACACTAGGAATAGGATACACTTATCACCTGCTATTATCACGCTGCTGCTGTTAGGTGTTATGTCCATCATTGCTTGTTCATGTATATAAGAATGCATTATGGCAAGGATCATTGCTTATTCCAAGAATGACTACTGAAGTTAGTTGGACTGTTACACTGGTAGCAAGAGGATGGTTTTTCTTTTCGTCATGTTCGGGCTATGCGCAGTGGCCGCATTAGTCGCCTACGGTATATTCGAGATTCAGAAGCGTCTGAATCACCTTATCGCACTCGGTCAGTGCGATGGATCAGATCAAACGCCAAGACGTGCTCAAGCTCCCAG